AGTTTGATACCAAACTTATTGACATAAATTCTTGAAATAGTAGTTCAATATAATTTTGAATGCGAGTCAACAAAAGAAATGATATGGCCTTTCACCTGTGACCCATCTCGAAATGGTTAACTTCATTTGAGAAAAGTTTTATTGAGTTCCACCAAACTAGATTTACTAAAGTGTAATTTTTCAGTTTTTATTTCGAACAATTCATTTTTTCATGTTTAGATAAATAATTATATTTACTGTTTTGTTTTTATTTTTGTCATAATTTTAGGCCTGGCATGGCCAGGTGGTTAGGATGCTTGACTCGCATTCTGCGTGTTGCGGGTTCAAATCCCCGTCCCACCAAACATGCTCACCTTTTCAGCTGTGGGGGTATTATAATATGAGGGTCAATCCCACTATTCATTGGTAAAAGAGTAGCTCAAGAGTTGGCGGTGAGTGGTGATGACTAGCTGCTTTCCTCTAGTCTTACACTACTAAATTAAGTACGGCTAGTGCAGATAGCCTTCGTGTAGCTTTGTGCAAAATTCAAAACAAACAAACTTGTCATCATTTTATAAAACAAATTCCAAAATATTGCTCTTCGAATGTACATTATTAATTATTTTCTTGCTAGGCAGCTTACTAATTGAAAGTGTAAAACTTTAATTCTGTACAGAAGTAATTTAAAATATATAAATTTCACTTGTATATAGAAATACTGTTGGATGTTTTTAAAAATAGGTATCTGGTGTAAGAATAAACATTATTTTCTAATACGCATTCACTGCTTTTAACGCTTTCTTTTGATTGAAGTGCATGTTAATTCATTTTTTTTCAGCCATGGTGAGCAGCTCATAGAACAGCTCTGAATTTGCTTTTTTTTTTCAAGTACAAACTTTTAGCTCATAGTCCCATCATCTCTTGACCAATATGAGATCTAATTACAATTTTGGACTTGGGAGGTCAAACCCTTCTGAATGATTGTTTGACCATACCCAAGGTCTTATAAATTAATGTGTTCTAATCCTGCCTAAAACAATTTCAGTTTGAAGGTAGGCTGGTATAGATCCTGATGAGTAATTAAAATTAAAACAGGGATATGTGAGCCCCACGCTTGGTGTTGCTGGCACACAAAGATATAGCTAATAAAAATAAAGGAAATAAAGGTCTCATAGATTAATTTACTCTAATCCTGCCTAAAAGAATTTCAATTGCTGTTGAACATTTCCTCTTGTATATATATATCAGTCATTTGAATTTTTTTAAATATTGTTTTTTATCATAACCAGACATATTAACAAGAAAACCAAAATATAAACATATTTTGTTATTAACAGAAGAAATTTTCACTAAAGGACATAATGATGTCTGCATGTAGTACTGTTGGTTTAAATATGCTGTTTCCATTTATTGAGTTGTTCATATCCCAGTGGTTAGTGTGCTTGATTGTGGATATGCAGGCCCATCATTTACATTCCATTTCTGCAAACAAATCATGCTGTGCAGTCTGGGCCTAAGGGTACATTATAATGGTAACACTCAAATTCTACAGTTTGGTCAGACAAGACTAGCCCAAGAGTCAATTGTGGGTACTGTCGACTAGCTGTCTTCCCTCTAATCTGTCAGTTTATATTTAAGGATAAATAGTGCAGATAGCCTTTGAGCAGCTGTATGGGAATACCTGAAATCAAACAAACTGACCCATATTTGGATATATACATGTATATGCTAATTTTCTAGTTTTTGTGTTTTACTATTGATTATTATAGTTCATGTTAATAAAGTTTAATCTATAATCCATATAAAAGTATTTGTTACTCAGAAACCTCTTAAAGTGAGTATGGAGCTGATTTAACATACATGTGTTTTGAGTGTTTACCTTACCATCAAAATTTAAATCACTTAATAAATAATTGCTATTTCTTTTCATGGAAATAATCATTCCACATATAAAGATTATACTTATTCCATGTAATATTATTTTTTCAGACTGCTTGTGTCCCATGTTTTCCACCTTCCTATGACATAGTTGAAAAATTTGTGAAGATGTATCATGATAGTCTATCCAAACATGTAAGTTGTTTTTTTTATAGGAGCAGCATCAGAAAATTACCTTGTATTTTATTGCATTCCACTGTCTGGCTTGGATTTAAGTCAGTAGTGTTATTCTTTGATGGGTATGGTGTCATGGCTTGCAAGCTTTCCGTATCTTACACCATGTGACATCAAACAACATCTTTTGTTGTTTTTTTCATGTTCAGATAACCTGGAAGATTTCAAGCAAAGAATCACAACAACCTGTGTACCTACCTGTAACACCACAATTGCTCAACAGGCAAAGAATCACAACAACCTGTGTACCTACCTGTAGCACTACAGTTGTTCAAGAATCACAACAGCCTGTATCCCAACCTGTAACACCACAATTGCTCAACAAACAAGAATCTTAACAGCCTGTGTACCTACATGTAACACTGCAATTGCTCAACAAGCAAAGAATCACAACAGCCTGTGTACCTACCTGTAACACTACAATTGTTCAACAAGCAAAGAATCACAACAGCCTTTGTACCTACCTGTAACACCACAATTGCACATGAACATGAACCACAACCTGAGCAAATGACTGACATTGTGTTGCAAATATGAACAGTGCACACACATTAAATATTAATTACCAAGCTCCACATTTCTCACCTAAAAACCATATAGGGCTGCATCGGATGACATCTGCCTCTTTTGGCTCATTAAAACTGCTACAACGCAAAGTTTCAATATTTGTGAGTTCATTATTGACTTGAACTTAGCCTTTTTTGTAACAAAACAAACATGTGTTTAGTATGGTCCAGGGAATTGTATTAATTTACAAGTTGACTGTGGAGTGTAAAAATAATCCTGCAAACAGCTCTTACTTTGTTAGAAAGCTTAATAGTACCTTAGAAGTGCATTGTTAGGTCATTGTTGTGAAAAACTATTTTTATGTAACTCTTTAGGATTAAATCATATTTGTTTTGACTTCTAGTATGAAAATCTGACATTTTGATAGTCATTTCATACTACTATAATAAACTGTTTTTATACATTTTCATCTAAATGGAAAAACGCATATCCATATTTTGTTTTTAATGGCGTTTGACTTGCATTCAAATTTACTTTTGGGCTTGAAAGCATTAGCTGATTATATGTCCAATGTAATTAAATGTCAACAAGTTTATATAATAATAAACTATAAGTAAATGTACAGGAAGTACTTAATTTTAAATTATTATTCAATAGCTTTTTTTGTATTGTTATTAAAACTTAGTTTCATAATAAGAATGCTCAAAAACATTTAATGGTGAATTCATTTTAATACTGATTCTGATCCCGTTGCTTTTTGTTGAGCAGCTGCAAGATATAATATCCAACCAACTAGAAGGTAATGAATACATCACTCTTCTCAACTGGTTAAATGTGTATGAGTAAGTATGGATTTTTCTTCTTTCATATCAGAAAGTGATGGTTTTGTTTTATTCTAAGAGATTATCACTTTACAATTACAAGCTGAAAAGTTTAACCCATTGACTGCTGATTTGCCATATAGGGTACGGTATACCTCTGGCTTGCACAAATTCCACATGCTTTTAGAGCAGCTTTAGTCATTGGGTTCAAATATGTTGTCTTCAACAAAAAGTGTCGTGTTTTTATGTTCATTTCTATAGTACTTTACTGTCTGAGAGAGAAATACTGGAATCTAAAACATGGAAATTTGAGGATTTAAAAATGATCCAATGCATTACCATATAAAGATTATAACGCTTATAACAGCTGGCTCTTTTGTAATTGAAAGGGATATTTAAAGCTCTGTATATTTTAATAGTTTCATCAATGCAAACCTACAAAGTTTAATGTTTGGCTATTGATGTAATTTTAAAGCAATATTAGCTTTCATAACTTTGTTCTTTATTGACTTTTTATTCTTCTTTAGGACATACATTTAAGATATTTTAATTACTCATGACTGTTTCACATAACAGAAGTTCTGAACTTATGGGTCATCCTGATCTAATGATTGATGTAAAGAAATATGGTTCTCTTTTGGATAACACTGTAGTGGAGAACTTGATTTGCCGGTAAGTCATACTTTTAGAAAAATAATTGAATAGGAATTTTGTTGATCTAAGTTGAGTTAGATTAGTTAGTCATTCATTTTTTTTTTCTTGTTCTCTTACTTTGGTGAACTCAAAATGAATAATTTATATATTGGTGTCATTACTTTTCTTGATGATATAAGATGGTGGCGAGTGTTTGTTAACACTTGTAAAAGCTAAAGAAAAGATTTATAGATGTAAATTAAACCTGCTGGAACTTAATATTACTTTAGGAACTACTATTACTGTAACTTTCTGTACCTATTCTTAGTCTTTGCACTGAAGTAATTTATAGGAGATTTTCCAAGTAAGGATTTTGTGCTTTCTAGCTACAGGTGAACTCATAAAGTAAGAAATAACATATTGACAACTGGAAAATAACACTGTATTTAAATTTTTTTGTTTCCCAACTTATCTACTTTAATGTTCAGTTGAATACAGTCCTATTTTACTGTACACGATTTATGAGTAGTGGAAAGAAATAGTATTTAATGTTGTTTATGTTTATATATGTATTATAAGGCCTCAAAACCTCTGTTTGATCAACCATGCCCAAAAAGAATGTGAAAAAGGTTTTGAAGAAGCATATTACACCATTAAATGAACAGGAAAAATAATCCTCAAAAGATATATTTATACTTTTAACCTATTTTTTTTACCAAAAAAGAAAGAAAAAGTCTTATTATGAAGGGACTCCGGACTAACTTAACTTACTTTAGTAAGTTAGCTTGAAAGTTTTATATTGATTTAAAATAACTAAAAGACAGCATAATCAGTTGATATATGGCATTAGATGATGAGTTGAACAACAATAAGGTAAAAATTAATAGAATTCATAGTTTTGTTCCTGCCACTAAGAAGCCAATTTAACTTACAAAGATTATATAAAAAGATGTTAAATTGAACATTTTTTACTATAAAAAAATTAAATACTAAAATAAAAACGAATATTTGAGGTTTAATTGCATCTTCATGTTTGTAAAAGGAGAACTAAATAATAAAGCTTCTTAAAAATTGACTACTTTGAAAAGTTGAAAACATTTGGTCTTTCATTTATTGGTTTGATAAGTTTCGAGAAAATTCAAACTGTTCAAGAAATAAGAAATGAATGGTTATATGATGCCAGTAGTGAGCTATTAATCATAGGTTAAAAGTATTTTAGAGTACAACAGTAAATTTTTACATTGCCTACATATGTAATATTTAATGCTACCTTGAAAGTTAGGATATATGTATTCTGTTAACTGTGTCTGATTTATTTTGGTGATCTTGCTAATTGACTTTATAACATAATTTACTTATACATGAATGATTAATATGTATTCTTAATGTAAGAGTGGGATTTCTTCTCTTTAAATGGCAGTGCTAAAGTTTATATGTTAACATTTATTAAACAAAAGTGAGTTTTCATAATTTTTGACTTTTTGTATTGAAAGTATAACAAAATTCTTGTTAATATGTCATTGTGTCTGTTATACCTGCATACTCTGTTGTGGCCATTTAGTAAAGTAACCATTATGGTGTGTTTGAAAAACAAAAGCATCTTTATTTGAAACATTTTGGTTATAATAGATTGTGAATTTTATCTTTTTGTAGATTTGCTTGCAACTGTTTTGCTCGTGTATATATATCTGTTTTCATATTTATCTTCACTTAGGTATGTATCTATGCTTGAAACCAACTATCAAGACTGGATGAAAAATACAGTTATGTCAGATGTGAAGGTAAGTAAGAGTCTTTTTATCGTATGTTTCAAGTAATGAATAAAATTTATTTATCCAAGGAGATGTTTGTGTTATTTGAAAATAATAATTATTTATTAAACACTTGTGCCTGTTGACTTTGTTGAATAAATGTATTCTACAAGTCACATGTAATCTTTGAGTGTCAGAAACAAGATATCTTTAATATAAGAGTTTTCTTTAACAGGACTGGAGGAATGATGCAGAACCTGAAGCAGACAGTGAGGGCTATTTTCATACCAGTTTACCTGTCATAATGTTTCAGATGATTGATCAACATGTATGTTATGCTGTTTGATAAATTGCCACATGTTTTGTAACACAACAGAAACATGAACAAGTTTATTTTAACAACATGGGATACTTTCATTAAGGTTTAATTCTAATCTGCAATTCAGTCTATCATTATAACCTTCACCAGTTAGTGATCATTAGGTATGGTTCTGTAGTTTGTGTTTTATAACCTTATATAAGCCATTGACATGGATGTAAAGTGGTTTTAATTTCTGATAATAATAAGAGCACCTATCACTAAACTCATTTTTCTTTCTTCTTGAATTCAGAATTTCATAGATTAATGTGTAATGATTTAACAACATAGCTTGATTCAAAAAGGATGAATCTTAATTTTGTATATTCACAAAATTTCAAGTTATAGAGACTGTTTAGTGTAACTTAGTTTTCCTTGTATTTACTATTCTTATACAGAAACTGGTTTGTCATTGATAATGTTTGACTTAGTTGAAACACTGCTCTCTTACACCAGTTGGAATCTCATGGTTTATCAATTTATGTTTATAATTTACACAGCATTGCTTGTAATGTGAAAACAAAGATCATTTTAACATTATTTGTATTACAACTGTTGACCTCCTATAAAAACTTAAGTTTAATTATTGTTCATAGATGAGTGGACTTCTTTATATTTCACTGTTAATTATATTTCCTTTTCTTGCTATTAAGATTCAGGTAGCCAAAACAGTGAATCAAGAACTTGTTGAAAGGGTACTTATGGTCAGCATAGAACAAGTGGTTTCAGTCACCAGATTGTATAAAGGTATGTTTACCCCTATATAAACTGACTATGTCATGAGGACTATGATAGTAATTATAACTAAGGCTAACACACTCTTATCAAAGACTTCAATCGTAAACTGTCTTCCCCTTCTTCATTTGAAATGCTTTCAAAAGAAAGACAGCACAGTGCCAAGATATTCTGTTTGTACTGTCCTTCAGCATTAATAATTTCATCTGCTCTGAGCCTAATTCATAAACATTGATGCAGCAGTTCCTTCAGCTCACTTGCATGTCTTTCAAAAAGCTTTGGCAAGTATGTCATTTGGAGATGATCCAAGGTAGAGATAACACCGATTTTTTTCAGAGAGATTTCCAGACATGCAGTGGAATGTTAGTAGTACAGAAAAACCTCCATAAGTCTGTAAACTTCAGTCTTATAATGCATCTTTTCTCCAGTCTTTACAGTAAACAGCTAACTCACTTATTTTGTACCTTTTCTTTCTTGCTCACAGCCAATTTAAGGTCTTGTGCCTTACATTTATGTAAAGCACTTTCTAGCTGTTTGTCACAGCTTGTAATCTACAAGGACATTATATGCTGTACAAAACATCAATCCAATACTTTGGGTATTTACAACTTCTCTGCCAAGTAGTAGTTTTAGGTATTTTGATTGTACTTGACATTGCCATTTTTTCTCTCACTCTAAATGAAACTCACATATGCTCCTCACTTTTGCATACTCAATTACAATAAATCTTATTGGCTAAGCAGTCAACACTTTTTTGTGATGCAAATCTTAAAGGAAATAAGTGACTTATGTTTTTTTTTGTTTTTTTCCCTCTTCAGATTTTATGCTTTTATCTGGAAAATTCTAGACATTACAAATATCTTTTAAAATTATGGAATCCATGACTTCCATGACAAAATCTTAGCCATAAGTATAATACAATCAATCTTAAAAGTCAACAGCTTGTATACACACACACACACATACACACAAATATATGGTTAAAACAGTGAATCAAAATCGTTTCAAGAGGTGTATTATACACCAGTATACATGCACTTCACATGTATATTAGTCATTAGAATATAGAATTATATTCAATGAAGGATAAATAATAAATATAAAATTGTGAGCAAGGTGTTTTACTTAAAGAAACTTTAGAAAACTGATTAAACAAGTACTTATTGATTTAACTGTAGGAAACAATTGCAACACCTGTAAATGTGAAAAGCTTTCCAGTAAGTAGTGTCAGGATGTTGTGAATGCAGAAAATAAAGCTAACTTCTAATTTAAGATCCATTATAGTTAGTAACTGTACTTTTACCAAAAAGTCTCCTGGTGTGTCAGTGTAAGTTTATGGACTTACAACACTAAAATCTGGAGTTTGATTCCTTACAGTGAGCAAAGCTGATAGCCCAGTGTGACTTTGCATTAAAAACAAATTTACCAACAAATTTCTCACACATTAACAATTAATGTAACTTGAGAGATAAATAATGCTTCAATACCCTTTATTTGTCAATTAAAAAAAAAATCAGTTATCAATATGAAGATTGGAAGAGGTTATATTTCCCTAATACCACCTCCAAAGATATCTGGCATCATATGAAGTTATTTAGTAGGTTAAGGGAAGTAAGCTAGAATTGGCTGCATATAATATGGCTAATTAATCTGTAAATATATTTTTTTATTCAACTTCTCTTGGAGAGTATTTAAAATTTATCTGATATCTTGACCTTTACTTCAATTAAATCATCTTCTGTATAACTTTATATTGAAAGCATATAATAGTGTTTAGGTTCTGTTGTTGAGTAGCATCTAATAGTTTATATTATTGATTTAATTAAAATGTTTGCATCTACATTTCTTTTTAACATCGAGGCACTATTTCATGAATTTTTTCTCCCCAAATCCTGAAGACATAAGTCTTCGACTGTGATTTAAAGGTTAAGAAAATAGATAAAATCAGTATTAAATGCAGATTTTATGGAATAGTACATAATAATAATAGAAAGTAAAGCTGATTCACATAATATCAACATACCAGTTTATTTGTGATGCTTTCTTTTGTATCACCAGCTATCTAACCAATTTTTTTGGATCTTTTCACAGAGGCTATTGTAGAATACAAAACAAAGCATTTTGAGGATCGCAGCCAACTTAGATATTTCACTCATTACATGGTATGTTTCAATCATTTGATTAAGATAGGGTAATAACATACCACTGATAACTAAGTATGTGAAATTTGTGAAACCACCTGTTAAAGATTTTACAGTTATTGTGTAATCAAGTGTACTAATTTCTATATTTTATTTACTGTTAATATATTGATTCAATCATTTTCTTGTAATTCTATTCTACATATAATTCATGTTACTAAGTAGTATTTTAATATTCAGTTTTTTTTAATGCCTTCAATATATATTTTTTGAACACTCTAATTTATATTTTTAAGTTAAGAGTTTTATGGAAAATTTTGTTCTGTTTGGAAATTTAATTGAAAATATGTAAAAGTAAATACAAACTGAAGATTAACCAAATTAGAATTATTGTAAAGCATGTTCTTTAAAGCAAATAAAGTTAAAATTGTTAATCATCACTTGAAGTAGGCTGGTTAGTACAAGATAAACCTTTTAAAATACAGAGCATTAATGTATTTAGATAAGCTTTATAATTAACTGTCAATTTAAATGAAGTTAAAAAAATCCTTTATTTTGTAAGAAATTCTTATTATTGAGAACATCTGGAAGCTAAATACAATTTAAGATTGACATGCTGAAAATAATAAATATCAGCTAGCCATAAGGGATTGCAGTATTAGGAAACATTTTTGTAGCATGTTATTGGGTTGCATACGATTAAACTATTATTGAAACATGAAGCCATTTTGAAATTAAAAGGGTTTACAAAATTACCCAAAAACTTCTGTTCCATTGTACTAGTTGAAACTCAACCTCGTTCACATAAGAAAGATTAAGATAAATATTTACACTTTTAGTGAAATTACATCTTTTTCATTTCTTTGAATCTCTAAGACCTCAAAATATTTGTTAATTGAAATGAAACTGTTTTTTTACAAAACTGTTATTTATTTTGTCCTTATATCAATTTCATTTAATAACTGTGCAATGTTTGTATTAATAACCATCTTTACAATGCTTGCTTTACTAGCCATTAGGCTTGTAAAGCAAGTGTTGTATACATGGTTTTGACAAATACCTATCAAAATGGCAGTTATCTATTGCTTATAGTTACTAGCTGCTAGACTTAATATTTTTTACATTTGTTCAAAACTGAGTTACTTAATAAACAAATAAGCTGAATGGCAACTGCAACAATGTAATGTGTAATTGACAGTTGAGTCGAGCACGCGAGACGTTCGTTGTGAATTATAGCGTTTGTTATAGTGCGACTGTGGAAATTAAGTGTATTGCAAAGTTGTATTTAGAAAGAATAAACCAGTTTTATTCAAGAAAGGACTTGTATCGCTAAAGTTTCTTCGGAAAGAAATTGTACGGAAAATTAACTAACGACCAGAGACGTAACAATATATATAAAAGGGAGGATACACTACTTTAGACATATAAATAGATTTAAAGGTAGGTTGGTAGAGACTGTGTTGAGTAATAAAATTGAATTGGGTATATGCCCACCCCATTCTTCGTATTGCTGATGAACAAAAGTAATAATCATTGGCTGAAATTCTCCATTATGTTTCCTTGGTTGTCATGGGGCTGCTGTGATGCAACATCCTCAAAATTTGTCCAAACCAAATCCTCGGCTACAACTCTATAATAACCCACATTTCACCTGCAGTACATTCAAATTTTGAAAATGCCCAAATTAAAGCTTGCTTCTTCATTCAGCTCAGCAGGCTACTAAAGCCAAAACCAGGAAGACAGTCCAATGATAAAACCCCAAAATTCATAATAAGATTCACTGCTTTTAACATTACAATTAAAAAATTGCAGGGTCATACAGTTGACCAAGTAAGAATACGCCTTTGAGAATCAGTTTTTTCACAAGTTTCAATCTATAAGGATTTATCAAGAAGAAAAATTTAACACAACTTTAAAATATAAAGAATTCAAAATGCTTATCAAGCAATACATAAAGAAGATGACCAAATATACATAAAAAATGTTATTTTCATGAAATATTTGAAAGAGGATAGTCATTCTCCATACATATATTGTGACTAGATTATAATTAATTTTTAGAAAACATTTTCATAAAACATTTATCTAGATATAGCTTGGAGAAGAAAAATTAATCATTATTTCCCATCATATGACAGATTCTTGGCTGGTCTTATATATAAAAGAATACCGAAATCTAGTAAACACTAGAGCATTCAGGATCCTTGTAGAAGTTAATGACGTGTTACTAGCTTCACGTGACTTCGGCTGAAAGAATTTCAAAAAATACTAACTTGCTTATCATGGCAGAAAGTGCCATTGTTTTATGAAAATTGCATGTTAATTGGTACCGCAACAGCTGAGATATCATCATGACAGATGGAGAGATGGATGGCTTTTCATATTTATGTAGTAGATGAGTATCTTGTGCATTAGATAGTGGAAAAGTCGAAAGTTTTAAATTGTTGCATCCAGTCTTAGAAGATATGTAATGTATAAGATCATACATTATTATTTGTTAGTATTTTGTAGTCTGAATACAACTTAATACAAATATGTAAGTTAATATTCATTTTTATATCAAATTAGAATAAGCGTTTTTATTTTATTTCCAACCACACCTACCTTAGTAAGATTCTAGAATGCATGTTGATTCTAACTTTTTTAGTAGAATATCATTTATATGTTATCTATTACTAAGATAACGGAAGCACAAATAATTCAGAAACTACTTTTCAAACAATCTAATACTATTTCTTTTTGAAAATTAAGTATTTTAACATGACTGTGTAAAATGAACAAATCCTCAGACAATTTAAATATCAGGTGCAGTGATAGTACAACTGTTGTAAAAGTGTACATAAAAGCATTAATTGTGGCTTTCCTTTCCAGCTACTGACCTTAGATCTGTCATAACTACCAGGACAATCATGCACAGGTCTTCCTTTGTGCTTCCAAAAATTATGAATTTAAATGTGTGAGTTTTAATCTTGAAATTAATTACTATTAGGAAAGTTTGGGATAATGTCCTGTTGATAAAATATTATTTACATATTTTTTTTTCAAACAGATTGCAATAGCCAATAATTGTCTGCAGTTCGGAGAACTAGCAACCAGGCTACGTCAGCGGTACTGGAAGTCTGGTAGTCATGACAATGAGGCTGAAAAAATATTTCAGAGAGCAATGACTGTATTTGAGAGCCTAAAAATGGACACGTAACTTTGAATTCTGATTATGATAACAAATACCTTTTTGAAAGCGTGTTGCTTACTTCTGTATATGCATTCTTCTAGTAAAATACTCTTTTCTAAGATTCTACAATATAGTTAATTACTATTATGTCACATAATTAGAATACTTAATATATGTGAATGTTATATTATTGTATACATTCGATGCTTCTTTGATTATTTACTAAGCTATAATAATATTAATTTTAGCCTTATTTATAAGGTGGAATTATGCTGAACATTTAAATAATCTAGATGTACTTCTGCATGGTCCCTAAAGGTGTTCTGTTTCAAGAGTAAATAAAAATTAAAATTAAGAGTAACAAATACTTTTTATTTATTGCTTTTGAAGTTCATATGTCCTGCTGTATTGTGGCCTACAGAGTGCATAATTCTTCTTGTAATTCATGGCATGTGTACGTTGTATTGATGTTATTGATGGTACAAATTGCAAAGTTAAGCATCCCTTATGTGACCTCATTTTAGTGTCTACTGACTGACATGGTTAAAACAAGTGGCCCTTCCAGGCAGCCTTTGGCCCCTTTTCAGGCAAATTGTAATACCATATTTACTTACATTTGATAATATATTGCTATGGTGACACCATCTATATAATTTCAGTGTAACATATTATTACTCTTTTTTTCATATTGACCATAATTGTTAGTATGTCTAGAAGTCTGATTGCTTTTTTATGTATAGTTTTGTTCTTTTATATGGAATATAAAGGCATGTTACTTGTAATGGTGACAAAAATATGTTATAGCATTTTTTTATTACTTAAACACTTAACTTTTTCAAAATTTTTCCTCTATCTCTTTTTTAATATGCTGTTTATATAGTTGATTTGATGTAATCTAAACGATATGGACAAAAATAAGAAAACATGTTTAACATAATACTAAATTATACTTTACAGCTCTTCTGCACATGTACCACCAATAATATGTATTCACTAAATACACTTGTAGTCACTTTTACCCCACAGTGTTTGAAAATATTTAGTTGTTATTGTTTTATCTTTACTTTTATATGTTGATATTATCTTTTCTCACACTTAATTATGAGAATGGCAGGACTAGGGGGCTTAAATGTAAATTTTGACAGATTAGGAGTCGTCTTCAGCTAAGACTGTTTTATTTTTCTATCAGGGTAGTTGGTCTTTGGAATAAGTTGTCTTCAGATGTTGTGGAGGCTGTAAATATAAGTGGACCTAAGAGGAAGCAAGATAAATATAGGAATGATAAGGGCTGGCTTTGAGGGTGTTTTTTTCAATAGTTTTAGTTTAGTGGATAGGGCAGTCTAGATGAACCAATAGGTCCTTTGCTCGCCCTAAATATTGTGTTATGTTATATATTCTATAAAACTAGTCGGTATTGAATCAAATATTATAATTTTCGGTTTCACTAAGCCTACTAATAGTACTAGTTCTCACTAACTAATGTCTGTAAAAGCAATTAAAAATCTGTAGATCTGAATTTTGTTGTGTTTTATTTTCTTTCCAGTCTTGGGTACCTGGAGGATGAGCTGTTTTTAGATTTAGACAAGGAAATTAATGATTTACTGACAAAGAAATGGTAGGTTTAACAGCCATTTTATTGTATAGTAACACCTTTCATACAATTATGAAACTATTAATAACTAACTATATAATGAAATTTCTTTGTAAGTCCTGGAAATTTATCTATGTTTGTAGTTGGATGGATCTTTAGTTTCAAACTACTTCTAGCTGTACTACTTATAAAATAGTCTACAGATAGATTTGAAGAAAAGTTTGGAAGCTAAATAGCTAAACACTCATGTATTTATGGATCATATTTATTGAAAGCTTTCTTAATGTAGTCTTCTCTTTTTTTATTTCTTGCATACAGATTTTACTTATGTTACTAAATCTTATTTTACCCTCAGAAAATTACTTACTCTGATTGGCTAAGATAAGGAATTATTTTAACATTGCCTGCAATGACTTGTTTATGTTAGCAATATGTCAACATCATACAGTTTCAACAAAGCTTTTGTGTTGGGCTGGGTGTGGATTAGTGGTTAGTTTGTATGAACTCTGAATCCATGGGTTTGTGGATCACATCATGTTGCTAGAAAATTGCTCTCTGCACTTGGGGCCATGGATAAGCTATGTGTGTGAATGGTAAAGCTGCTAATCAGATAAGAGTAGTTCAAGAGTTAGCAGTGAGTGCTCTTAACTTGCTGCCTTCCCTATAATCTATTAGTTCAAAGTTATGGATGGTTGTGTGGAGATAGCCCTTTAGATTTGTACAAAGAATTCTAGAAACCTAAGCCTTTTTTTTTTATGTTAGTTCCATAAACATAGCCAAGACTAATGATTTTGTAGGATTATGATTAATGTTTTACATTCTGTAAATTTAGTTCAATATCCTTTTTTTTTCTGTAAGTAACAGATTCAAGTTTACAGGCTTTACGACCTTCTGAATTTTCTTTGAAATCAATGGTATTTGTTGAGAAAGTTTTAGAAATAATGTATTCTAATATGAAATATATTATTTTCATTTTGTAATATATAGGTAAAAAGATAATCTCATTTTTCAGTTTATATATGTGAAAATTCAAAGTTTGGTTATTGAGCTCAGCTTTAATAATTCAATGTATGATGTATTGTAAAGTTAAAATTGTTTCAGTTGGTAATTGTTGTATATGTAGCGTGTGTAACACAAATAGTGAAAAATGCTATATTTATTTTGTACATTTGTATACAGGATGTTGAGTAGCACAAACATTGTAGATACAATATGTGCAACTGTGGAAGATTATTGCCATGACTACACTCATTTGTGGCCTCGCAATTTTGACCTACTGATTTCAGGAATACAGAATCGAGTAGCTAAAGGATATATTACAGCAATTCTTCAGAAGTAAGTCGTGTTTTTTGATGAAAAAAAAATAGTGTATTTTGGAATTAAAAGTTTAAAAAATTTGACTTTATAATACAAATTCATGATAAATGAAAATAAGTGTAATATTTCTAATAATCAAGTTAAATGAATTATATAATAATTCTTATTATATAAGAATATTATTTCTCATTCTAAATTTAATTGCTTAAGTTGAATTTCTAATAATGCTTTATAGATCTAAATTTGCATGCTCAGAAGCTCATTCCAATATATAAAAACATTAGTGTGAGTGTAATTAACAGTTATTATTGAGACATACAAATTTTAATTAGATATCATTGTATAACTGATATATGCCAAAAATCTACTTTAAAATTTGAGTATTGTGTTTTTTCTGTCATACCAAAAATGGTAATTTTAATTAAGTACTGTCTTTTTAATGAGATTTGTACGTACTTGAAATTATGAGTTGTAGTAGTATCTTCAGTCTTATTTGACATCTTAATTTACCAAATATGTATAATGTCTTTAACAATGAATCAATCATTCAAGTTCTGAAAAGTCTTTACAGTAACAAAATATTTTTATATTTCTGAGGTCCACTTTTTGGACATAACCAAAAAAGAAACTTTGAAAACATAAAAATGGCTACAACTAATTTATTTTAGGTTAATGGTATCTAATTTTCTAGGTATTGATGTCTAATGTTTTAGATTATCAAAATAATTCACTTTTTTTTCTAATCCAAATTTGCAAATGTGATTTTTTGTTTAAACTTTCAGCTTCCATGTAGTATCATCCATATTGTACAAGTTACAGTGAGCTGCAAATTTAATAAAGAGATTTATCTAACAACATTGTCATGTAGGGTTATTGCTTTATAGTTTGTTTAATGATTTTATCTTTATGAATCACACTGCACATTTATCTTTAAGTATATGGTGTGATGCAGCAAACTAGCTATGATTGTTCTCATGATGAAGGAACTTTCTATATTCTAGTAAGATTTGTATGATGAAACATGAAACTTAATATTTAACATTTTAATTGATCTTACACTGGTTTCTTTCATACTATAGATATAAGTCTAAAAGAAAAGTGTTTGATATAGTAAACATGATTTTGTAAACAGAAGAACAAAATATTCTAAAAATAATAAAATAAATCGTTTTGAAAAGTTGCAAATGTGCAACATTGGTTTTATTCATGTCTGAAATGTCAAGGACTATTTGAAGCTAAGATTAAATGCTGGCATAAATAATGACATTTGCCATCATGGGACAGAATACTGCAGTCATAATCATGTGTGTTTGTGTGTGGTTTCATATTTTGGAAAAACAGTATTATGCACATCTAATGCAACTTGTGTATGGAAAGTATAAAGTTTCATGCTGTCACCACTGTATTTGTCAGTGATAATGTTAAGCTTGCCCAAAGAAATTGTTTTAGAGTTAGTTTTAATCATGTAAAAATATGTTAAGTAATTGTTTCTAAAACCCAATTTCAAGCTGATTGAACCTTAGTAATTATAAGCATAAAGTTGAGATGTTATAAGGAAATTGTAAAAGTCTAATTCTGAAATTGAAATTAATACTCATTACTCAATGTGGTTTCAATAAAGAGTGTGTTTTCTACAAATAATGAACTAAGCTATTTCTTGAATACTGATCTACTAAAAGCACCAGATTATACAAATTTTGAACAACATTCAGACATTGGAATATTTTCATGTGCATCTAACAAATTACTGTTGCAATTGCTTTTATGAAATTAAATTTTTTCTTGCATGTTCTTTTTTATTCATTTGTTCAAAATATCCTTGTCTTGTAATGATTACATGGGGACAAATAGGTGAAACCACTTGTACGTGACTTCTTGGTATGTTTCTTTGAAAATTAGTGTTACAATTCAGATTAGTGTTAAAATTCTTGATACTAACTGGAAGATTAACCTGTATGCAACACACTGGCTGATGTAAAGCAAAAACTGTATTCATCTTTTGAGAGAAAGGAGAGTGCGTAACAAATTTGATTTTCTAGTTACATTGTGAACTTTGTTTTTTACACATATCAGATAATATGATTGTAATCAGACAGGAACATTTTAATTCTTTAGGGATTTTTTTGTAAACAGGCATATGTTGGTCTCCATCTGTGTTCATATGAAGAAAATTATGTTAATTGTTGATGTAAATGTTGTACCAAGTAATCTAAATATAGATGTTGTACTCTGTTTCATAGTTAGGCCTAAAATTGAGTAAGCATTATATTAAAAAATATATAAAATTATTTAACTCACTTGTATGAATGTAACTGATTCTTAGCAAAAGTCTTGAAGTTTAACAGCCAGTGTTTAGCATGATCATTGTGACATTGTTTTTATTTTCTGTATAGAAAACTTTCATTAAAAAATTATGAAGAAAGAAAGGAAGTTGCAGATAAAATTGTACAAGAAGAGAAAAAGTTACGAGAGACTTTTTGCCGAGCAAATCCTTTGGCAGTTAAGGTATTATATTAAAACCTTTATTTGGTTTTAATAATCATTGCATGGAAACTTTTAAATGAAAAATGAATTTCTGTAATATTTCTAAAAGTGTCTTATGAAAAAAAGTTTGTAATAATTTTTTATGATGTATTTATAAATGCAAAGAGTGTTAAAGTTTGTCCATAAATTATTACTATCTTTTAGACCTAATTTTGACACAACTATGGGAAATTAAGTTATTAAGAAAAATTGAATAGAAATTTCAGTATGAACAATTTTTTTCCATAGTTTATTTGTTATGGAAGTACATTTTCATGATAAGGTTCAGTAAGGTGTAAAGCTGCCGCAACCATTATGCTTAAAAATCAAGTAGGATCAAATATTAGATAAGTAAAAAAAAAAAGAAACCCAATAACCATATTACTTTTATATGGTCATTTTTAGGGATGACTTGGAACAATATTTAACAATGACTTGATTTATTAAGTAGCCGGATAAACTAAGAAAAATGTTATATGAAATATAACAAATGATCAAATTAGGCTATAATAAATTTTGAATGAAAATATTTATGCTAGTCATTTTTTCATGTATTATAGAAAGATATTTAAATGTTTCTAAGATTCAGTATATTTAGTTCTATTCTCTATACCATCAAAAAGTTTGGTTTCTGTGTATCTAGATCTATAGAAATTGAAGGCAAACTCGAGCACAGAGTTTAAGAAAATTTACTTTTTATCGAGGCTATTTGGAAGCACAAAATGTGGATGTGGTATGAGCAAGGTTTAAAGTTTTATTGTTTATGCTTTGAATGGTACAATGAAAACTATGTTTGTATCATTTGTATAATGCTGATTAATTGGCTGTTATTATGATTGAAATAATAATAGATAAGGAACTGAAATTTTCAAAGGTAAAAATTCTGAAAGTTCAAATATAACCATCAAAATAATGCACAAATTAAGAAAGAATAGTAAATTTATAATACAATGCACATTAATTACAGGCAAAGTAGATAATAGTGAAGGATGTTTCTTTTAAACCATTCATCTGACAAATGAGAGAACATAATAGTAATATTCCTTAGAGTTTCATTGTTGTGGTTGCTGGAGTTCTCCAATAAATGGATCGGTGGGAAGAGAAATTTTGATGTTGAATGTTTAAATACTTCAAATAAAATGTTTTGCATTTGCAAGTTATTTCATATTTTTGTTCAATCATCTCGCTGCATACTGTAAATAATAGTCCATACCATTGTGCCTAAAAATAAACAAATGGATACATATGGATACAATTTTCTTTAGGGAATTAGAACTGCAAATACTTTAACTGCATAAAGCAACTTTTTATAAAAGGCTGGCATTGTTAAATTAATTAGTAATTGGCTGTAATTGTGTGGCCGGTTAATAAGTAATTGTCCATGTTGCTGATTGGCACATTTGTGTTTTGTAACATAATTTCTACTTGGTTATAAAAGGGCTTTAGTAAAATATCATTGTGCTTGGTACATACACTTTTAAAATAAATACATGTTAGAATAACTGTTTAAAATGTTTTTGTGTTGAAAACTTAACAGTTCTGAAAACATAGAATTTCATGAACAAGAATAAAAAGGATAAACAGGAAAAATTTGTCTACAACTACATTAAGTATAGCTAACCAAAGTTCTTAAAACATGAAAAGCATGAGCTACATAAAGATTTTATCTTTCTTTTTTAATCAACTTTAATTTCAAAGTAACAGAAAATAAGTAGAGAAATTGAGAAAGTCTTTTATTTATACTATTATATTGTAAGATTTAGAAGGCATAACATGTAGTTGGATTAAATGTATGTTTTCAGATAGGAAAATATTCAAATCTATAAATTAATTTTCATACTCTTTACTCGTGCTCTTGTGTTTCAAGTATGACAATAAAGAACATGTTTGGTTTCAACTTGCATATTTTTCAAGATGAATATCAAACTTGCAAAGTAGTTAAGAAGGCTGTGTTCATCTAGCAAAGTGCCAAAAATATAAATAAAACTATATAATACTAAAATTATCTTCACAGCGAGAGTCTCCGTTTGATGCCCTACCACTATTAGCCGAAGTTCTTAAGCTGAAAGATGGAAGCTTGCTGTCTCTTGAGATCTCTGTAAGACCCTTTCAGTTATCTCTTCAAATACACTTGGTGATTAAAGAGTTTCTGATTTTTCATAACTTCTTTCAGTAGAACATTTAGAGATTTGTAAGAGCACTTGATCTTAATTTGAAGCATTCTCAAGTTTCTTAAGATATAAACTGTATAATTATATGTTTCATTTCAAAGGTTCCAGAAAAATTCTCTTTTTGAGTATGAATGGAACAAATAAGTAATTTCATTGCTTATTACTTGTTAGGAAACTAATTGATTTGATTATTCTGCCTTAAGACAATTTTTTAAACATGTATTAAAGACAACTGTTTAATCTCAGGTTATAGAAAAATAAAAATTGAGAATAAATACCTGAATCTGTTATGTTGTTATCCAATACAGGGCCTTATCAAACGGTACCCAGACATCTCAGCAGACCACTTGTTAGCTCTGGTTACCATGAGAGGTGACATGGGACGAGCAGATGCAAGACAAGTATGCAAATGCTCGTTAATCTCCTTATATCATGTTTTATCTTATTAGTTTTTACCATGTCTCTACTAAAATGAGTAAATTTGTATTTTGCCAATGAAGTTAGTTGTTCTTAATAAATGATTACATTATTTTTATATCCTAATCCTATTTTGTCCAATAGACTAAACAAAATTGGACCACCTATTTTAACATCTTTTATTTTTCTTCTTTATTTCTGATTTAGCTGGTAACAGAGATACTTCCAGAAGTTGGTAGCCAAAGAAATGCTGAAGTGAAAAGCATATTTTCTCAGATTCAAGTGGGTTAAAACATGCCATTTGATCTATATCATAAAGTAGAAAGGAAAGAGAAATATTGGAATATTTAATGATTTTACTTATTCTTTCTATAGTTGACAACATAATAAAGAAGTTGTTCCAGAGCTAAGTGTATCAACTTGTAAATTTAGGTTTGTTATATTTATGTTTTTCTACATATATATATATATTTCTCTGTGATTCGCAAAGGTGTTTCTCCATTATTAATATGTGCATAGCTATTTCAAAATGAAATATATGTGCATTGTAAATTATATCATTTCTCAGTTGTTTTACATACTATTGTAGACAGTTAAAATTTAATTAATGTGTGCCTGTACAAATCAAGAAATAAATTTGCTTTTTTGCCCCAGCTGCTATATTTTGTAATGTATAAGTTATATATTGCAATATCTCACAAATTGTACAAAACCAATACTTATAATTTATCAATTCTTTCTTCTGTTTGTGTTTTTTAATGTAAGACAAAACAAACACCATGGGTTTTGGAACTCAGAAAATGTGAACTGTGTGTGAAGTAAGTTACAACAATATTATTTAAACATTATTATATGACAGTAAAATGGGTTTTGTTGTTAGTAATTATAATAAATCAGCATAAAATATAACTCAGATCATGTATGATTAGCGAGTTATATTCTTATATTTTGGTTTTCACTTAAATACTGTTACGACAGCAGAAGTCACGCAACTCTGAGAGCATACACGCTGGAGTTCCTATAAGGATCATGACTTATCAAGCAACCTCGCGAATGTCCGAGTGTTTGCCAGGTGCCCTCTTTTTTAGTATATAAGCCCGGCAAATAAAGCCAGCTATAGATAGATATGCAGATAGTTTGAAGATAGAGATAATTGAGTCAAGCGAACAGTAGGTACCGTAAGTAAAGTTTGTGAATCACTGTTTATAGCGTGTGTTATAAAGGTTGTTAAGTTCAAAGTGACTGTGGAAATTCTGTGTACTAAAAAGTTGTATCAAGAAAGAGTAAACT